ACCCAACATATATATGATGAAATGGATCGCGGTAAATATGTGGTATCAATACTATTCGATCTATCGAAGGCATTTGACACCGTCGAAAAATCTTTTGTTTCTGAAAAATTGTATCAGCTTGGCATTCGTGGTTGTATTAATGACTGGTTTCTCTCATTCCTGGAAAATCGAAAAATTATTGTGAAAATTGATGATGTCTTCTCAAATGAGTTCAATATGGAGCTAGGAACTCCTCAAGGCAGTGTTCTTGGCCCGTTGATATTTTTATTATTTATTAATGACCTTCCTAGTTATCTGACGGACGCTAAAATTCTCATGTATGCAGATGATACATGCACAATTATATCAGACAGTAATGAAACTGCACTCTCTGAAAAAATTGCCAACACACTGAATCAATTTCAAGATTGGTGCTACCGAAATAGATTGATGATGAATATAAAAAAAACGGCGTGCATTGAATATTACTCTACGCTCAACTCACCATCAAACTGCTCTATCTCTTTAAACAATACTGTCATTGCAAAATCAAAAACGGTTGAGTTTCTGGGAACCTTATTCGACAGTAACCTTTCATGGGGAGAGCAAACCAATGCTGTATGCAAAAAAATCAACCAATGCTTTTACCTATTGACAGTCCTAAAATCCATGTTAGATAGAGATACTCTGTTGAATGTGTATTACTCATATGCATACTCTGCAATTGCGTACAGTATCATTGTCTGGGGACAAGGACGTGAAGTTCAAAGAGTGTTCGTATTGCAATAAAAGGATAGTTCGCTTTATATTTGATTTACCTTTTCAAACTTCGTGTCGCAACATATTTAGAGACAAGAAAATTCTAACGGTGACTTCTATTTATCTATTGAAATTACTGAGCAATACTTATCGAATCCAACATAAATTAACAAAAAATAGTGATATACATAAGCATGACACGAGAAATAAAAATGACTTTTTGCTCAGAAGAGCAAATCACAATTACTATAAAAAATCACCTCTTATCGCTGGGGTTTCTTACTTCAATAGGCTTCCCAGTCACTTAAAAAACAGTCCTACATACGAAGTTTTTAAAGGTAGGTTGAAACACTTTTTAGTAAATAATTGTTTTTATGATCTGGGGGAGTTTGACGTTTTTCTCTCCAATAATTGAAATGTTATATACTAATTTATTTCGTCCAATATCAGTGTATTTGTTTCTGTTCTCATTTCTTGGACAGTTACAGTTGTTATATCAGTTCTATGTTCTATGTTCTATGCTTTTTATTGTATACATGTACCGACTCGTCCAATCTATTGTACTATAGGGAAAAAGGATTTAATAAATTTGAATTTGAATTTGAATTTGGTATCATTTTTCCGGCCTAGTCTGGAAAGTACGTACTTCCCGGAGGTTTTTGATTTGACATTATCTCGGGCGTATTCATGGAAAGTGTAATACATCATTGTATTCGTAAGCTAATAAGCTACTCAAACATGCCATAATTATATGGGGGTGAAATTTGAAAAAAAAAGTTAATGGTTTGTGCTAAGGGGTGGATTATCATTTAAGCCAGTTTTTTTAAAACGTTGATAATGTCATCCGTTCTTGAGAAAATGTGTAACTTTTTTGTTTCGATACAAGTTCTTATGGCACATTCATTTTTTGGAAGTTGAATAAATGTGTTTGTCCGTCCACTGCATTTTTTAAAGAGTCATACCATGCTATAATTCTTTCATCTCCATGGTATCTTTTGATATCAACATGAGGCTTGTCTTTTGATAGTCCAAGAAGTTTATAGCATTTTTGATTTGATGTTCCTTGATCACATACAACAGCTTCTGGATGTAAACCACTAGAGTGTTTTTTTATCGATGTGGTCAATAATTCTTTGATATTTTCACCTGGCATCCCTGAATGTGTGAAAAAATATGCCAGGGGTAGTTTCCAGTTGCCAGTTTCCAGTTGCCATAACAACTAATACATACTTAGCCTTTCTTTTTGTCCCTCCCAGGATCCCCATATCCTCATACACTTTTTTTTTCATTTGTCATACTCTCAGATTTCAAAGTTTATCTTGCTGAAAAATGTTGCATTGCATTCAGTTGCAAATGGGCTTATATCACAAAAAAAAATATTTCATAATTCGATACAACCCAAACTAGCTCACCACCGCAAACCATTTCTTGCTGATGGCGATGATGTGACGTCAAAACCCTAATACTGAAACAAGACTATTCCAGACAGAGATGAATGTTACATTATTTCTGACAGAGTGAATTAGCGCGAGATCACAGTTGAAAGTATTAATATATCAGTTGCCTCAGTCTCCGTCGGGCGTTTGGTATTTTCTTTTAACTATGTCGAGATGAGGTTTCTACGTCATAAGATGGTCCGTTTTCAGAAGGTACTATTATTTATGTCCAAAAAAAAACATTCCAGTTAATTTTTCGATCGAAGTATATCGTCAATCATTATTTATGTATAAAATGATCATTATAAACATGGTTTGAGTTAAAAGTTCTACTAAGGTGTACATGCCCATTGAACTACCCTATCCATGCCCTCACAATACTAATACGAGGAAGAACAATTTTCTGCTTTAAATATTTATAGGCACTTGGTGACTAATAATATAGTAAATTGGCAAATTTCTTTTCATCAGCATGCCACTTTCGTTCTTTATGTTTTTACTGGATTTTAACTAGTTCGATGATTTTCTAACTGACGATTCATAGGAAGAAGCAGTTTTATCCTAGATACAGTTTTTTTTTCAGTTTATAGATATGAGAACGTTGAATAGAAACGATATGGGGTTCATGTTTCAACTTCTCATTCAACATAGCTATTTGTTCAGTTCATTTTCGAATAATTTCATCCTTGGGTTTCCTTGCTGTTTTTGATGATGATTTTCAAGGGATTCTAATAATTTCCTCTTTGGTGCTCTCTTTTGATTTGTTCCATATGATTTTGCTGGAAGACTACTGATGAGGCGTGATGATTCTTAGCTGAAGATTCCAGACGTTTTTTGGCGCCAAAGATCACGAAAATGGTGCTCACATACTTCACGTTTCTGGATATTTGAAATGTCCATATCATCCAAGAGAATATTTCCTGAAAAAGCAGGTTTTGAATGATAGGAATAAATGTCTCGGGTCCGCAAAACGAGGAAACAATAGGGTTCGACAAATGCAAAAGAATTTATAGAGGTCCGGATTTTGCTGAAATTTGATGTCAAAAATTTATAGAAAGTGCCTTTACGTATATTCAAAATACTCACAGTTTATTATAAACGCACACACATTTCTAGACATTACACCTGATAACTACTGCACCCTATTGTACACAGAATTCGATATTTGGAACGGGCACGGTTGTAAGGCAGTATAGGAATATGATAGGAATTAATCTTTGAATCTTTATTTTTGGTAGAAGTCCATTGTTTCTCAAAGTGGAGTAAAGTAGTAACTACTAAATAATACACGAAATTATCTCAACGACATCTTATTATGATCTAACGATCAAATCAATTGGAACATGTTTCGGACATATTTATGTCCATCCTCAGCCTGATCAAAAATTGCTACATAAATTGTGTCCTAAAATGAATGTGAATAAGTGCAAGAAATGGAGTAATAAACATGGAATGCTTATGTGGGAATGAAAAAAAGGTTGGTTACATCCTGATATTAATAAATGTTGAAAAGGAGGGGGTTCATATTTGTAAAAGCAAAGGTGAACCCAACAAATCCCAAATATAGAATTATGGTGGAAATCATTGAAAAGACCACCACAAGATGCACATCTGCAACACTACAAAATGGGGGAATGTGTCGTCCATCTAGTTACGTACTCGACATAAGGCGTAAGTCACCTCTCGACTTAAAGAGAACAAAGACATTAGTCACACACATGTCTGAACAATCAAACCTAACTCGGCTTAGATGAACCTTCTTCCTAGAAGGTATATTTTTCGAAAAATATCTTTTTAGTATAATAAAGGAGATTTTCCTAAGCAATCTATGAATCCTCTTCCTTGAAAGTATATTTTCACAATCGTCTAGTCTAGCCCACTGCATATGTCGGTGAATTCAAATTTGTTAAAGAAACAGCCTGTATAATTCAAGTTTGATCTTTGATTACTACTACTAAATATCGTTCCTGCATTCGGATCTCAGGTCAGCATTAGGAATGAACAAATATTTCCTATAAAAATCGTAACATTTTAGTGAATTTACTAAAGGAAAAGCCTGATCTTAGAACACTATAAATCATCAAGTTGATATGTAATAGTATATTGTTTAAAGAGTACGGTATGATAGTTATTTTCCACGAGAATGAAGTTTGCATTCGCCTACGGCTCATGCTGCAATCATACAAGTGGGCAATGGGCGTGTACACCTTAGTAGAACTTTTAACTCAAACCATGTTTATAATGTTCCTTATACATAAATAATGATTGACGACATAATTCGATCAAAAAATTAACTGGAATGTTTTATTTTTGGACATAAATAATAGTACCTTCTGAAAACGGACCCTCTTATGACGTAGAAACCTCGTCTCGCCATAGTTGAAAGAAAATACCAAACGCCCGACGGAGACTGAGGCAACTGATATATTAATTCTTTCAACTGTGATCTCGCGCTAATTCACTCTGTCAGAAATCATGTATCATTCATCTCTGTCTGGAATAGTCTTGTTTCAGTATTAGGGTTTTGACGTCACATCATCGCCTCGTTTCCAGAGGTCCGAAAAATCGGGGATTTCAATAATTTTTTATAAAACGTAGGGAGCTCACAGCAAGAAACGGTTTGCGGTGGTGAGCTAGTTTGGGTGAGTTCTATCGAATTATGAAATGAAATTTTTTCATGATATAAGCCCATTAGCATTTCGTGCGAGTTATACACTCTACTCTTTCTACAGCGACATTTTTTATTTATTCGGCGCAGCCATCTGATTTTAAACAGCTTTCAGCTGTCATGACGGTGTGTTGAAATCTTTTCATTGTTGATTTCAGATAGAGAAGCAACAGATCTTTGCTACAATTAATCAAAAAGACGGCATGGTGGTCTTCAGAGATGAACCAGATAAATATGGAGGTCCTGATGTACTGAAAGGCTTAGAAGATCAATTGGCGATGTGTATGGAATTAGACAAACAAATTTTGATGATGGATGAAGAGATTCAAGTGAATCCGCAGTATGTGAAGAAATCTTCCGGTTTACAGGAAGAAGATCAACCAAGCAAAAGTACCTACGCTATGTAATAATTTAATAGTTGGTTGTACAGTTATTGAGTAATAATTATTAGAAACATCCGAAATGGCATGTGTGAAGTTCAATACACTTTTCATCATATTTTTAAATCGAAATAATAAATTATATACATTTTATTTTTGTATCTTGATGTGTTGAACGCCTTGATGAAAATTATGAAATTAATTTGAATAGGTATGATATAACTTCACTCATTGACAATATACCTATTCGCGGGAATCAATGTTACCAGGTGGCGCTCGGTTTTCATCGTTCCATGTCAAAGCCACGTCAAAACTGGGGGAAAACAAACTTGATCCTCACTCAATCCCATTAGTGCCATTAGCTTGTATACTGTGTACTGATGAGAGTGATAAGTTTTCAAATTTCTTGACATTAATTGTCAATATACAATCGAAAACGCTAATAATGCCTGTTGTAGCTTTTCTTTTGGCAGATATTTTGCTCTATTTAGACAGAAAAAGCCGACCAGTAGTGTAAGAAGAAACAGTTCTGAGTGCTAATCATGTGATTTTGTGTGAGGCAGAAGACTTCAACAAACTTCGGCGATGAAATCTTCCCCACATGAAGTAAAATTGAAGTTGGGGTCCAGAGGAACTCCTGTAGAACAATGAATTTGTATTTGTTCATGCGAAGCAGGACAATATGGGTATTGTAATATGTCAATTGATTTTCTCGTCATAATTATAATGATAATAATAATAATAATAACCTTTATTCAACAAGATATATGATTAATAAATATAATAATAATAATAAATGAATATATGATTAGTGAATGAATAAAGCTGTTGAGCGATAAGTGCCATCGCCATCCGATTAACTTGAAATTTGACAGGTGTTCATAATTTCGGTGACAATACATTATGGAATTTTTGTTGAAATTGAAAAAAATGGCTGCTCCAAGATGGCGGACAAGATTTGGTCCGATTCCATTCAAAATTGGTAAGTGGGGGTTTTTGAGGTCGGAGATCATGATTTTTTTGTTAAAATTCATAAATTCAAGATGGCGGCTTCCAAATAATTTTTTGTTCTTGTATAAATGACGATAACTCAGTTGTTATCAACACAAAACTATTACTGCGACATATCATCTGGAAGAGAAAAAGAAGTTATTTGTGACTAAGTCATAGTGAGCTATGACCTACATTTGAAAAACTAAAGTTGGTGCTGATATCTCAAATTCTAGAAGAGTTGGTATAAATTTCATATTTTTTTCGAAATCACTTTGAAAAACTGCGATAAGAATGTGAAATTCCTATTTGAATATTTTCATAAATAAAGAAGTTACGGAGGAGACATGAAAATGATCAAAATCTGTTTTTTGCGTATAAAACAAAAACGAATAGATTTTATCAAAATATTTTTTCACATTATAGTTGGCCTTGACAAACTCCACATTTGGTGTCATTTAACCGACCTCGTATCTCTCACCGTTTAAAAGATACCCATGGTGAGCATGGTAAGTGGGACACACTGTATTTGTATGCTTGAAATTACATTGATACGCTGATCCATAATCTTGTAGTTAACAGTCATGTCGGTAACGAAATGACATGTCCATTATCGACAAAAATAACATGTTACCGATGAGACAATCGCTGTATTATTGAGGATATGGTGGTATCAATAAGTCGAATAATGATTATATTATCATTCTAAAGAAGTGAGAATGAGAAATAATAGTAAATTGCTTTCATTCATTTTATTACATTTCTGTAAAGTACGTTGAAAAATCCCTCTGAAATTTCTGGGCTATTATATCATGTAGTTAATACATTATTTGAACCAAGTTGAGTATGTAATAAAAACATTGTTTCTCCTGAACATCGATGAAACTTCAAGTGTTATTTTGTGTGTTTTATATTCCTTTTCATGAAACGAAGAAAACCATTGTTCATGATCGCAAACAATTCCTTTTTACTTCCTTTATATATAAATTTTTTCATGTTCATAATTTATCTGAGAATATTCCTTTTCAAACATAGATGGGTTCATTGATTGGAATCTTTTGTAGTCGCATTTATTGATTTTCGCCCGTATACAACTGCAATAAATTAGTGAAATATTATATTTGCATATTTTTTTAACCAGATATGTCAATTTTAATGAATCTACTACAGATATTTGGAAGATTCAAACATTGCGTTTGAAGGCAGACTCGCCTAGCCAGTCCTGATCATGCGTTTTTCCATGTTACTTGTTTCACTATATCAAGGAAATGGAAATATCAAGTGATTTTTCCTTAGTTCTCAAATTAAATGAACTGCTGAGATGATTTGATATTGATCATTGTTACAAATATCACCTAGGTTTTCAGTACAATCAACAGGCGTTTCAAAATTTTTAGGTCTAATAAATTGATGAAAAATCATTATGGAGTAAACATACAGACCATTTGAGAAATGAATTAAATCATCATAGGCATTTCATTCAAAATTCTTTAGCTCTAAAGCAATGATCTTCTTTCCTTATATAAATTCAAAATATTTGTTTTATTCATTTCTTCAGGAATAAATGTAAAATACCAAACTTATCATATTCAATGAGGTCTATATAGATATAGTCCATAGTTATGGGACTAGACAATTGAAAATTAATTGATAGCAAATACATTCAAGTCAAACATTATCAAACAATCTGTATTCCAGAATGAAATAATTTTGTACAACTCATTGCCGAATGCTATCTGTTCTTCCAGGTGGGTCATTAGGAATGCCATCGAGGTTTATTCCTTCGGGAACATGAGGAGTGTTGATGGTGTCGACATCATCAGGAGTGTTGATGGTGTCGACATCATCAGGAATGTTGATGGTGTCGGCATGGAGTATGAAAAAGTAAAGTTAAACTTGAAATATTCACTGGGTTTTCCAAGTTATCGTACCTTTACAGGCTATATCTTGCTTATTTGACATTATGATCAAAAATTGAAAAACTGCTTTGCATTAAAGTACCTTCCTAATGACTTTATCAATAACAAAAAAAATTAACATTTCGTGACTTTTCTCACATTAGGTACTTGAATGAAGAATTTCCTCTGCCCATGCTTCTGAAAATTACACAGAATAGAAGTAGATTAATTTTTTGTTCAAAAAAATCGATGCTTTCATGTCAAGAAAGCAGTGAGTTATTCTACCTATTTTATAGTGTAGAAATTGGTAAAACCCTTACGTAGTGTATTTGGAGATCCGGAAAAGGGACCACGAACCTAAACCAGAGGGGAAATTTGCTTTCAGTGAATTTGGTCGAATTTTCGGTATACGGTATACGTGCACGTACTCACGATTTACAGAGTTGGTCCAAAAATAGCAAATTTTTGAACATTTTGTAATTTGTAGCATGTCAATATCAACATTGAATGAACATGATTGGATCTCTCAGAGTTACATGATACAATACAATACAGTGAGGACCAAAAGTCCGTCGCCCCCCCCCCCCAGTAACTTCTTTATTCTACATATTACAAACATATGTTAAATACATAAGTTGTAGGGTTTCATTCGATCTCTTTAATGGTTTAAGTTTCATTTATACAGAGTGTCTCTAAAAAGCACGGTGACTTAGAAGTTAATTTTTTCAAATGGGACACCCTGTATTTCATTGCATTTTCAGATTCTCTCTGAAGATCTGATTACATCGATGTATCACACTTGGGGTCTAGCGGAAATGATTACAGAGATATAGGGTGTGAAAAATCGTCATTTTTCAACTTTAGGAATTTTTTTTGTCAAAACTATTCATTATTGGTCAAAACGGCTTACATGTCCCTATCTCAACTTTTGATTAACTATCTACTGATATTTAATTGGGACATATACCGGGTGATCAGGATTCTGAAAGGTGAAAAAAAAAATCCAACAAAACTATATACCTCCTCTCCCTATCCTCCCTAGGTACGCACGATGTTCTTCGAACATTATAGGGATTCCCTTTCATGCGCACCGAGCGATAAAAAAATAGCTTTCAAAGACTTTGCCAGGTGGGAGCCCTCATTTTCTATTAGGTTTAGAATTGAACCATTTGTAAATATTAGGGTTGATTGGTTGTGAGTGATATGTGAACAATAGAGGTTTTGATTTTTATTTCACAGTACCTACTCACCCAAGTTTTCACCTCGAGTCCAGATGCAATTAATAGGTAATGCTCAAGACGGGTGTGAAAGCAGTAACGTTTTTTTAACTTTGCTTATGGTATAAAAGGAAGGACATTTTCTATTGCAGGAGATTTTTTTATGCGAATCCACTAATCTGAAGGAGTTGAAGGAAGCTCTTAACAGTAACATAATTTGTGATCTCTAAACAACCCCATATACAGTTTGGTCATTTAAGTGTGCAACATATGGGAATCTTTTTAATGAATTGCACAGCCAAAATACAGTAATGCAGATTAGTGCCAAAAGTTGGTGCATGTTCGGTAATCATTCTAGGTTCACTTATAATGGTCGCAAGTCAAACAGCATACAGGATAGGTCGAAAAATTTTGAAATGGCTCAAGAGTAAAAGTACCTTTATTTCTGAAAATTCAGTCAAATGTTATTGAGAAAAGTTGTTAACAATTGTAAGTTATACCCAAATACCAAAGCATGGCTTCCTAAGACATTTTTTAGTTTTTCAATTCTTTTCGTTAATAATTTCCCAATTTGTAATTTTTTTGATATTCACCCTAAACACTTTCATGAGTTGATCATAACAACATTATCAGTTGAGATTGTTGAGAATACCTTTGTTCAAATTCAAGAATATTTTAAGGAATACAAAATTTATGTTTTGTTGCAACGATATACAGCTTAACTTCAAAATTTCGCAAACCATATTTTTTACAAGGTTAAACATTAGGTGAGAAGTTATAATGTCACCAGACTGTCTTAATGTTTACTGTCAACGCTCATTTGTATTTGTACAGCTTTTTCATAATCATTTCAAATTATCATTAAGAGGGGTTTAACCCTATGAGCGATCATTGGGGAAACAAGGAACGGCAGAAATCAAAATACTCGAAGCTCGCTAAATAAATTCAAGATTTTTTTTCACGGATTGTTTCTAGAAGGTTGGATCTAGGCATCTCTCGGAGTACATTTTCAAATTTTTGAAAAAAAATAGTCGAAAAAAATTCCAG